CCCCCCCCCCCCCCCCCCCCCCATCCAGCAGGTAAGGCTGGGGGGGGGAGGGGAGGGCAGCTTGATGCAGAGGCAGAAAAAAATATTTGGGGGTGCACCACCCCAGCAGGTAAGTCCCACCTGGTTGGGGCCCCACTCAACATACCCCTGCTCCTGCCTCTGCAGCACTGTCCCTCACTGTGAGGGCCTCAGTCTAGCTCCTGCTCCTTCCCTCCCCCATGGACTGACCTGCTGGGTTGGGGCACGTGTGCATGCACACTGCACTCAGTCCCCCACCCCAGTCTCGGATTGACTCCAAGAGGCTCCAAGATCTACGGCAAGAGGCTTTGAGATCCACTGGTTGATGACCAGTATCTTTAAATGCATCTTTATGGGCTTGGTGAACTGGGGCTAAAACAAAAGACATCTTTGCTCTTTACCCTCTGTCTCTTCTGTCAATAATGTCCCCTTCAGGCCTGTAAGGCCTGACTATTTCCTTGGGTGGGGGGTTGTTTTTTTTTTAGTTCCTTGCATAGAAAATGGGGTGGCATGGTGGAAGTGTGTCAGAGCCCCTGGGCAGTGAAATAGATGTGGAAGAAAATGCACTGGCTCAGTGCGCTCCATCACTACGCCAGCCCCAGGGCACGTGGCTCTGGCGAGCTCGCCCACCCCGGCGGTGGCCCTCGCTTTCTCCACTTGTTTCACCCGGGTTCTTAATGCCGCCCAGCCCAGCACCGAGCTAGGCTAGTAGGGAATGGCCGGGAAGCGGATGCACTGCCTGAGCCTTCAGCAGAGGTTCCCGGGTCACAGCTCGATTCCCGGAGCTGGGGATTGCGTCCCCTCTGACGTGGGACGGGCTCAGCCCCAACAAAAAGCCGCCGCTGCTGCAGCTGCGGTACCCGCCCCCGCTGACGCGCAGGCCGACTGCGGCCCCGCTCCACCCGCTGTAGCCGGGCCGGGCGGCCGCGCGGCATACTGGGAAACGTAGTCCTCCCTCCGCAGCAGGCGGGGCGCGCCCGGTCGTTCCGCAAGCGACGGGCGCTCGGATTGGATAGGGCAGCCGGAGGGGCGGGGAATTCCGGCGCGGGGCGGGCGCGGTGTTGATGGATGTGAGCGGGGGCCTATGGGGGGGCGGTGTTTGGCGGGCGGCCCAGGAGGCCTCTAGCTCCGTGGCTGTCCCGGGCGCTGCGCGGCGACGGGTCTGGGTCCCTGCGGGCGGGCGAGCGGGGCTAGCGGAGCGGAGCGGGGTGAGTCTCGTCTCGTCTCGTCCTGTCCCGTCCGGGCGAGGAGCCGCGGCCCTTTGTGCGGGAGGCGGAGGCCGGCAGGGCCCCGGCGGGGGTCGAGCGC